TCTTTTATCTCAAGCTCACCAGGATATATCGTATCGACGTAGGAATGGAAATTATCATTATTAATTGACAATACGTCGTCGATATATCTAAATGTCGAGTTGAAGGCCACAGCAAGTGTTTTCTTCTTTTCACGCATAAGATTTTGTATAAATTCTGCTTCATATGAATATAAAAATAAGTCTGCTAATAACGGAGCGCAATTTGTACCCATGGGAATTCCAATAGATTGTTGGAATACCTGGTCTCCGAAAACCACATAGATATTGTCAATCAGAAACTCAAGCATCTTCTTGATGTTAACTTCAGAGTACTTATGTGTGCAATCAGAATCTGTTTTAACAAAATAATTTTTCAAATGACCAATGACGAGGTAAGTAAATTTACGAGTTCCATTTTTGTTGAAGAAGCAGCTGTCAATGATATCAAAAAGCCTGGATTTTAATTTGTCGTGGGGAATCGTTGTGTATAAAGTTAAAAAGTCGTAAGTTTTTAAGCTGTTGATTTTTGTGAAGTCTTGTGATTTCAAATTGTCCAAAAGTTCTTTAGAATTTTTAAGTATCCACATCTGATTTACACCACTTCTTGAGTATATAGTTGCACAGTACTCTTGAAGTTTTTCCTTCACTACTGTCAATATTTTAGTGAGAAGTAACGAAAGAGGCTTGGTTGAACATTTACTGGAAACTGCAATGTATCTTTGTTTGTAAGGATTCCTATGAAGTTTCGGAATCCAATATAATATATATAAGGTAGTTCAAATTCATTTTGGCTCTGTGGAATATTAAAAGTATTCAAAACTGACAGGTGATTTTGAAGAATTTCTTCCTTAGAAAGAGAAGTATGAGTATAAGTAGGATTACCACTTGTAGAATTAAATGCAAGTTCTTCTAGAATGCAATTTATATAATGAGCCTTACAAACGAAGAAAATGTTGTTACCTGCTTTGTCGCCAGGATCCAGTACGTACTGATCGTGTTATCTATCCAATTCTTTTTTCACTTCTGGTTTATTGAACACAGAAAGATAGATGGTTTTCATTTTGCCCCTCAATCTTTTGATACGTGACTTTAACATGGATCTGATACATTTAATCCATTCTGACAAGGTGTCAATGTCTTCTTTTTCATATTTGGTCCATCGTCTGGCGTAATTTTCAACAGAATCCATAATATTTATGAAATTCCGACGCCAGTTGAAGGATCGGGGTTCCCTATATTTAGGACCTTTTAAAAAAAGTGATCTAAGGTCCTCATTACGAACTATATTTACGTCACCTGTAATAACGTGTCCAGCAGGAATATAGTTATAGGGCGAAGAAGAACATGAACACGAAGGAGGATTATTTTTCAGATGGTCGATATCCAGGCCATGTAAAGTGTTTTTGTAATTGAAAAGTTTGGAAGCAATGGTCGATGTATATTTGTAGGAAATACATGGTGTAGTCTTTAACTTGAAATATGTTTTTACTTCCTCACAAATGATATGCAGCCAATACCTTGTTATATAAGAAATAATTCGCAAAAAAAAAAATTCTCACAGTGCCAATTATAAAAACTTACTGCAAGAGGTTTTGCTTTCATAGGTAAAATACACATTTTTTATATTCATATTCCTGCATTGATTTGTATCACAAAGTAAAATATACATAAGGCAATCAGAATAATAAAAGCAGCATTCATTGGTAAATCCTAGATTTAACAGCAGCAGAACCGGTAACACAATTAACAACGTGCTTATCACAAACAACATCTACATGTACAACAACAGAGCTCAAATAAATACGGCACAAGACAGACAACAACACTAGTCATTCAATAACCTAATTAAAAAACAAATTTCTTACTAATTAATCGACTCCAATTGTGACCATATCCCGACCCGAAGGGCGATCATTTGAACAATTTAAATATTACTTTGATGATTTGTATGTTTGAATTAATCTTATGTTAATCATATGGAGTATTTAATTAAACAAAGCTGACCTTGCTAAAATATCTCAGATATATGTTTCCTTCAGGGCAATTATAGATACAGAAGCAGCATGTTATGCAATACGATATAATCAATATCAACATTTAGGACGCTTATAAAATTATCAACAAATCTATTACAAACAATATCTACAATTTATAACTACAACTACAACTAGAGGTATAACAAAAAACATTTACTAGGATAAAACAAATTGTATAGATTTCACACAAGAGGGATGTCCATAAAATTGATCTACAATGTCATTTAAGTCAATATGAAATTTTTGAAGACATTATAAGAAGTAGAAAACCACTGTTTTGTGATGAAAATAAGATATCCGTATTTATGGCGTGATAATAAATCAAGTACTACGTTCAGCTGGGCTGCACTGCCTGCTAACGATACTAAATTTTCCTAAATTGATTTGAATATTAAAATTAAATCAGCTATGTTCTATAAATTTTATAAGACATGTGACACCATGTTGATATAAGCTTGGGAGAAAATAGAACCTAGAGGCAGATCTTGTTTTGTTATTTGTTTAAAACTCTTGATTTTGAAGTGAATTTCAGGATTGTTAACTGATGTGGACATTTTTTAGCCTTCATCTGGAACAATCGTGCTTTTTTAATACCCAGGCTGGTAGGTGGTAGGTGGTAGGTGTGATGACTGCACAAATATAAACTTTGAAAACAGCGAGGAAGCTTACAGTGTGTGATATTTTTATATTGGGGCTTTCCCTCATCCGGAACATTGCTGTAGTCAATCCTGATGTAAAACTGAGAGATATAAAGACCACACACATGTAACGTGATAAAAGACAGCGAGTAATGTGGTGCTTTGTGACTATGATGGCATATGTTTATTTCTTTTCAAACGTTGTACTGACTCATTTATTAATATTTAGAACAAAACGCATACAATTGGAACAATAACCTGATTTTGTTGAGATGGGGGAATATGTTTATCCCTAATAAGACACGGGTGAATATGATTTATTATCATCAGAACTTTTCCTAGTGCAGTCAAGTCAATGGCGTTTTCAGACCCATTTTCATAATTTTTCAGTTAAGTTTAAAGTTGTTATTACTGGAAATTCTGATTATCGCTCCTTACAAAATTGGTTTATTTCTCATCTTTATATTTTGTGTCCGCAAAAAAAAATACAATTCATTGTTAATAAAACTTTTGAGAATTTCAAACGAATTATCATATGTTAGAAAGTGGCAACTTGGATAAACTGTTCTACAGATTTATTACTCATTGGAGGTGGATAAGATAAGGTCACAGTCAGCAGGGGATCACAATATCAAAATACTTATTGCATTAAAATAAATACTATTGCAAAAATTTGTTAGTGTGACATAAAAATGACAAGTTGCCTATTACGATGAAAGTAGTACAAATTCAGAATCCATATATCCGCTGAAATATGGCTGAAAAATTGTCTACTCGGCGTTAAACAATATACAATCAATCAATCAGAATCCATTTCTTTGAAGTAATTACACTTTTTAAGTTATGAAAAAGTGTGTATTCTTTAATTATATATTTTTCATCAAATTATGATCTCTATTAAACTATTTTTGTTTACATTATTTGCCAGTTCTGTCATTATGAAGTAAATTACAGCATTTGTCCAAGAACTTTATGGACCCTCGTATCTAATACAAGGAAAGAAAAGCCAGGGATCAATGGACAAACATACTTATCTTAGTACCACCTGACCTGCTTTACTACAAGGGTATAAAATACTATATCTGTTTTGATCCCCTCCTGATTGTGACGTTTGACAATCAATCTCATTTTTTGTCACATGATGAACGTATATCTATATCACAAATGTTTATAAGATCGACTATTTATCTCTATGTAAAGTTTGAGCCACTTTCATGGCACTTACTTAACCCAAGAGTCACAATTTGAACACATATCAATATCTCGATATCACAATGACATTGTATCCCTGTATCCCTTCTAATTTTGAAAAGAATGTTTTTATGTCATTTCCTTTATAATAACCCTCGTGAATCATCATTTAAAGAAGATTTAATCTTCATTAGATCGGAGTACATACACAAAAACTTCTCAAAATTATGATCTACATGTATATCTTTTATGTGAATGTTAATCAGAAATGCTTTCATAATCATACTGCTTACTAGAGGTAAATATCTTAAAAGACATTAATTGTTTTCCTATTTATAATACTAATTAGTATGTTAGTAAAAGATTTATTTGAATGAAAATAAAACAATTATTGATGTAGGCTTCTTCCCATTTTTTTCTAGATTCTTTATAAAGAGAATTATAGTAGATTTTGAAAATATTTAAGAAATGTTTATATATAATAAGCAATAGCTTTGTTTTTGTCACATGATGATATGTATCAATATGACAACTATGATTTTCTTTCTATTTACCAGATGTGTGGGAGAATAAATAATTAGAATAATTATAATTATAATATAATATAATATAATATATAATTATAATAAATAAATAAAAGAATAAAAACATTATGTTTTAATGTTTGTCTTTTTTAATTCCCTTTGTCATTAATTTTGAAAGAATATTTCAAACCTTACATTTTATAAAAAGTATGAAAACAGAAATGAATAAGATTTTCGTTATCTCCATTTGTTTCTGTATTACACTGAACAATTACGTAAATCAATGAGAAATAATTATCTTATATAATAATATATTAATGGTCTTTTTTTAAATGTTTGGGTTTTTCATTGATTTTGGAAAAATATAACAAGCTGTTATAAGATATAGAAACAGATGGAAATTGATTTTATCCACTCTTATTTTAATAGACTGGTTATATTCCCCCAAAAATCACATTTATAAATTTTACATTTCAATAATGACTGTTTCCATTTTCAAATAAAAAAGCAAAACATCAATATATATAATTCCTCCAAAAATAACAAATGTTTAACCTTTTAACATATAAAAAGTGAATATTTTTAATTGAAAGAAATAACACGTTTTGTAATGTTCTTAGCAAAACATCGAAAATCTTAATAAAAATTACAACCCAACTGATACATTTCTTCATTGAAAAACATTATGACATTGTATATTTTCAACTAATTCATTTTCATCAACATCATTAATTTTCACCACTTTTCTGACTAGGATATTAAAAATCCCAAAGAATTCCTTCTATTAAAATCTCATCCTGTTATTCTTATTCTCATTTAAAAGTTCTATTCCCTTCTTAATTCAAACAAACTTAGGAATTAGTAGCTTTCACTTCACAGAGAGACCACGCCCCCTTAGCATTACCGCTGGCTAAATACAGATTGACGTCTCTACAGTGGGCGGGGTCTGGACAGACACAGCGAAACACACAACGTGAAAAAGCGTCAGGTACAGCCTTGTTGTCTGTCAGAGTACAGAACTGGGTCGGTTCCTTGATGGCTCTGTAGGATACCTAGAGATATGAGGGGTAAAATCAATAACAAAATGAATAACAATAGTAATAACTATCATATATGTTCTGCTGTATAACCACAGTCACATTTCCAAAAATGACCAGCGGCAGACTGTTTATGAAGCAAAAATGAAATTCTTCGGGTGACAGTCGACAGTTCATCGGCTGTTGACTGTTGCCGATTTTGACCTTTTTTATTTTTGTCGGCCGACCAAATTTGTGTGCATCGGCCCAAGTTATAATTTTCTGCGTTGGTTGCCAATTTCTTCAATTAAAGTTATCCGTCGATCAACCTTCGATCATCGTCCGACCATCGGCGGTTAGTTAATTAAGTCGGTCGTCCGTCGTTCGACAATAAGGGTGTCCAAAATTTCGGCCGATGGTTCAAATCAAACTGTAGCTCAGAGCTTAATGATTCGGCGACGATTGGCTGACTTGTAAATATAAAAACTAATAAGGATAAATTACACAAGCAAAATTTTGATGCATGAATTGTTAAAATAAATTATTAAACCGTAAGATACAAAGAAATCAATTGTATTACTTGCTGCTTAGATATGGGGCATTTGTCGTTTTTATGAAATTCTATACAAAATTTTGCACACATTTTCAATATTGAGCCAGAATCTTACAAAATTCTGCCACTTTGCCTTGCAAATATTACTCACGTAACCTTTCTGAAGATAGATCTGAAAAGAATATTGATGATTTCTAAAGAAAAAAGTATTTTTTTGTGTTCTTTATCCACGTTATTGGTGTTTCTAAGAATAAATTGACTGCTCCATGTCGACCGATACTGAAATTGAAGAATTCCTAAAAAAATATATCCAAAACTAGAGGAAAGATCGTTGCAAAGCAACGAGTAGGTCTTCCGTCCTGTTTGACCGGTAATAATTTTTATTTTAAAAAAAAAGAGAGAAATGACATCTCTAATGATTTAAATCTTTCAAATCTATTTTGAAAATTGCAAAAGTAAGCCATTTTTTGCTACTTCATGTTTGACCGGAAGTGACGTCGACGGACGGAAAATTAAGTTTCATGCTTCTAGTGACAAATGTTTCCCCAAAACATTCAAAAACGGCAAAAATATGCAGTTTCGGACAACTTCCGGTTTGGCGGTGGTTTCCGACGACGTCACAGGACGTATTTTGATGACATCAGTAGATTTTGACAAAGATTGTCAACAACTTTGCTTCCTTAATGTATGACAAATTCTCAATACTTTTGAGATATCTGGAAAAACTTTTGGCCCCTCTAGATCCCTTAATTTATGGGTCAGTCTTCTAATTCTGCACAAATTTTTCTCTATATATTTTAACAAAATATTTTAAGTTTTAAAGTTAAAAAGCAAAATATGAGTAATTTTTGGTTCTTTTAAGCCTTCTAATTTTTTATCCCTACATAGCGCCATTTTGAATAGAGAAATCGAAAAACAAAAACCGATGTGCACAACTCCAATCCCTCTATTATCTAAAATCAGTAGAATTTCTGCTCCAGCTCTAGCCGTCTCTGAGCCTTTATCTGAAAACGAAAGCCTATAAATTTTCGTTTAAAGGGCAATAACTCAAAACTGGAAGTGACTCTGAAATTTTCGACAGCATTCTGATAGAGTTTAGTAACTTCTAGTACCTCTGAAAATTTGAGCGAAATCAATTGATAAATGAGTGAGATAAAGTTGGCATCTAGGAAGTAGAAGAAAAAAAAGAATAATAATCTCTACCAACAGAATCAGTAGAAGGTCTTCCGTTAGAAACAGAAGACCTTAATGAAAGGTTTTTTTCTCTAAAATTTATACTTCTTTACGTTGAATTTAAAAAAGCTGTTTTAAGAAATATTTACATTAGAAGGTTTGTGTCTTATTTACCTGAAGCATCCGGGCATTTGAGTGCCTGTCACATGATATGCCTATCCCTGATATGTTAAGAGTGAAAGCTTTTGCCTGAATACCGAAGACAGGTTCTGTCGGTAGGCTCATCATTAAGAAAGGCGTGAAGTCTTCTTGGGTTGGGAGTGTAAAACACGTGTCCTCATCGTTATCAAAGACAACTGCTATTTCAGACTTCTTGGTTCCACTGGGATCATTAAATATAGAAATCGATTCCCATCCTGGAGGAAAAAAAACATGTAGAACTCATATAATGCTTTAAAAATATCTAAAATATAATGTATAACAGGAGTTTCTCCTCAATCCAAACTCTGTCACCATCACATTACATTCTGAATCATGTTGAATAGTTGAATTTTGCTTGAGACACTTTCTAATGACCAAACATTGTAAACTGTAGTTACTATAGTGTTGATATAATTACTTATAATTATGTATGAGGATTGAATACAAAACAATTTATTTTTAATGTTTTGAATTTTAAAAATTAAATTTTATTATAAGTATATTACCTCTGGAAATCGAATAACTTTCAGAATCTTTACTAGTTGGAACTGGAAAAGAACACATGTTTTTTTATTTCAAAAGATCCAAGTTCCATATCAATGTACATTAAAAAACTATATCAAAAACTATTTTCAACAGTTTTTATTTCTTAATTCATTTGTAAACAGTATTAGTCCAAATATCGTTTTTATAATTATTTCTGTATTTATTTATTATAAAAATGTAAATAATTGTCACTCATAATACACATATTCAAATGAAAGAAATTTAAGCTGCATTCAATTAAAATGATTTTAATGGTGTTTTACCGTTACAGTTGTTTTCTCGTAGGATCGTGATTTTCTTTGGTTTGTTGGGTACAACAGTGGTAACTATGGGTACATGAGTGGTAGTGGTAGAGGTATTGGTATAGGTATTGGTAGTTATAGATATGGGATTCAAAGTTGATTCTTCGCTCAAATTTGCTCCGGGACCTAAATTTGATAGAAATACTATATACCCGGTAAATATGTAAAAGCAAGCAAGCTTAACTCTTTACTACTTACTGAACTGTTATGCAACATACACTTAACGTCCACGTCATAGAAATAGAAATTTACCATTTCCCCGCAAGCACCTTTTAGCGTGGTACACGTTTCTCTAAAGTCTAGCGTATATAATATTCTGACGATATATTTTAATACAAAAATAACATTTCTTATTTTATGAGATTTTTGCAAGTATAAATTTAAAGGTAATTGGCATTAAATTAAAGATTAAATGAACTTTTTAAAGTGCGTGAAAATGCGTGATTGCGGGGAAACGGTATATGCGTGACTTTGCGTTAGAAATAGGAAATGGTATATGCGTTAAAATGCGTGAATGCGGGGGAGGGGGTTAAGGTTGAGGACCAAAATCAAAGACAGATCTAAAACTAGATGCTGTCATGAGACAGTAATACCCGCACTAAGGTGTTTGCCTCTAAATGCACACTTCTTTATATTGGGCTTTACCAAGGAAAAAGTCAATATAATTCAATAATTTACATAGTACATGTTTTATCAAATTGAGCATAATATGCTTGCTCAGGTGACCATCTGACCCATGGGCCTCCATCTAATAGGTATTTCATATTCTTATTTCATTACCAGTCTGAAATTAAACAACAGAATTAAATTAATTATATAAATTAGGTTTGATAAAGAGGGGGGGGGTATAAATTTTTGGCACATAATTGGACCTTTTTAAATCTATCTTCTCATATCTATAGATCAACAACAAATAATATTATTCAAATTAGTGTAAATCGTGTTTGATGAATTTTTAAAAATGTGCAGTTTATTTATATTTGATTAGGCAGTTCTAAACTTCTTGAAAGCTGCCATATACACAATAAATGTAGTCAACCCCCATCCCTCTCCCATCAACACACACACACAAACACACCTTATTTGCCTGTTTTTGGAAATAGGCCTAAATGGCAAAGTTAAGATAAAAAATCTTTCGTAAATGATAATTTTCAATTTGTTCTTGCACTATACATGTATTTGAAAACCTGCTTCACACTGGGCTTGCGTCACGTACCCAACTTAAGTACTAGTTTTACCATTGGTATTATCATTTTTAGATTTCACTGCACGTGCAGTAGGCTACTAATGTGGTATACACATCATTGCATATATGTCAGTAGGTATTATTTCATTTTGTGTTTTAATTGGATTATATTTCATGAAGATTACAGGACCTAAATAATGACAATCGGTAAGTACAAAGTTTTGGTATAGATTTGGGTAAAATAGTTTGCAATGCAAACGGTTAGGTTCAAGTTTAAAGTGACATTCTGAAGAGTTATCCCCCGTTATCAACGTTACATTCAGTTAGGCCTACAAGATCCAGATTTTTTTTCTGGGACTGGGAGGGAGGGGGGTTTCCAGACCAGAATTTCCTGAGAAGCAAAAACAAGAAGTTATGTTTGGGTCTGTTTTGTAAGGTGGAGGGCATCCAAAGTCGTTTTTATTTACTCCAGTATATATTATAGTCCGGCAAATTCTGGGGGGGGGGGGGGGGGGGGGGAGAGAGGGCAGTCTCCCAATCCACTCCCTGTCCCTGTATAGTTGGAAAGTTTTTCCATTTGACTATCCATAATTTTGTTTCTTGTGTTATTTTGTTATGTAAATTTAATGGTATAAAGGTCATGAACCCCTGGAGGTCATTCCCACTCTCCTAATGAGCTGGAAATGTTCACAATATGACTGCATTAAATTAAATAAAAGTGCATCAATGATAAGATTACTTGATGATGGACCACATTAAACTATTTGTATAATTTTTTTAATGTAATACAAGTAGTAGTTTGCATACATAAACAAACAGGGGTCTGGGAAGGGGTGAGGGGAAGGATTGAGTTAATATTTCTTTATGTCGTAATGGTTAAACACTCCTAAAATGAATGCTGACCTCAAATCTAACTTGTCCTCATTATTTTACAAGTGGTGGTGTCTCCATATGAGTGAAAAATTCCTGAGAGGGATGTTTAACAGCAAACAAAATGACATAAAAACACAATATTTATTTGCATTAAGAAATATGAAGGGGATTTTTTCAATCATAATAAATCTTTTTCTCAAGAACAGCAAGGGCATTATTGTCCTCCGTTTTGGGGAAAGGGAGGGGACGTTAAATCTCATTTGTCTGTCAGTTTGTCCATCTTATTAACAGCTAGTATGTGCATCTGTCACAATACATTTAACCTTAATTGGTCATAACTTTTGAATAATAAGAGATAGTGCTTTCATATTTCACATATACATTACCACAAAACTTTCTAAATATACTATGATTTTTTAACCCAAGTGAGACCTTGACCTTAAAGTTTTACCCACTTTTCAGAAAATAACATTTCAAATTGATCAATTTGAAAGAGAAAAGAAAGGACATTCAAATTATAAATGTTTATTACATGTGAAAAGACTTTTCTTAATATATCATGACTCTGTGACCTTGACCTAGAAGTTTAACCTACCTTTCAAAAATATCTTATTGTATATATAAATTTTGAATCAAAAGAGATAGGACTTTCACATTTGACATGTACATTACCTGCAACAAAATGTTTCAGAGCATGCTATGATTTTTCCCCTTTGACCTAATTTTCAAAAATTCATATATGATATGGGTGCATATTTGACACAAAAGGCCTAGAAAAAAATGTTTGTTTCCGCTTTCAGGCTGAAAAAATATAGGGTAGGTAGGCAATTTTTTTTTTTTTTTGGATTTCTTTTTTTTTTTTACTTCTTTAATCAAAACGTGTATAGAAGTAACATTAGAGACAAAAGAAATGGTGTTTTCAAGCATTTCTGTGACTTAAACTTATAATAGAAAGGTGACTCAAACTTCCTTCTGTCTTGAAAAGCTTGCACAATTGGAGACTAGGATTCCCTGGGTGAAATCTTGCACTTCATGGGACAAAAGCATTAAAAAAAAATTAGGGTCGACACTATAAATTAGGGTAGGTCGGGAAAGCGGAAACAAAGATATTTTTTTCTAGGTTTAATCTGCCATAAATTATGGCATCCCATTCACTAAAACACAGAAAGCAAAGGACCACAATTCTTTGAATTTGCTTGTATAATATTGATAGATGAAAACATCCTCATATAATGTAGATTCAAGTTTTCACCCTTCCATCTGTTTTTCCATCGGGCTCAAAGAAATTTTCTAGATATTTTTATCAAAGTTCATATGTTGATGCATACTGATGTAAATATCCAACTGCAGCAATATTTTTTTGACTTTGACTTTTCCTTTGACCTTCACTTAACTTTTCTTTAAAGAGACTGGGTGGTTGTGGACATTTTTAGATTATTTTGATCTCCTTTAAAAGAAGAGCTCCATATAAAGATATAATAAAATGATCAAATTTTAAAATTAAAATTTATGAAATTTTTCTTTGCCAAATGATAGTTGAAAACTTAAGATATCATGTCCCCAAATTAAAGTTATATCTGGTGGTTATTAAAAAAATAATTTGTTGACCACCTAGCCTCCTTAAATTACTGTTTAGCTTTATTTTAAAGAAACCATTCAAGTTGTGTAATAAAACTTCACATGATGATACATACTTATGTAAGCTTAACAATGCTTCACTCTTTTTTACCTTGACCTTTCCTGTGACCTTGACCTCACTTTTCTAAAATTAATTTCTAGATCAGTTTTGAGTAAACAATTCAAACTATATTTATCAAACTTCATTTGCTGATACATACTGCTGAGAGCTATTAATACATCAACTTATTTTGACCTTGAATTTTCCTTTGACCTTGACCTCACTTTTTTAAATATGTGTTCATCTAAGTTTTAGATAAACCGTTAATTTTAGTTTTATCAAACTTCATATGCTAATAGTAAATTCATACTGATGTTAGCTTTTCAACTGCAACAATTAACATTTTGGCCCTAACCTTTCCTTTGACCTCTTTTTTCTTAGAAAATGTGTTAAGCTCAGTTTCATTAAATCATTCAAGATATTTTTATCAAGCATTATATGCTGATAACTTCACCAAAAACTTCACCTTGCACATTCCTCTGACCTTGACCTCCATCCTTTTTGATTTGTATTTGGCTTAGTTTTTTAAGAAATGATTTTAGACATTTTTATGTTTAGCATGCACTTATACATACTTTGGTGAGGATTTATAATCTATATCCAATTTATTAAGATTTTAGTTTCAAATCAAAAGAAACTGTTCGAGATATTTTCAACAAACTTAATACACTAATACAAATTTTCCTGTAGCATGAGTAATATACATCCAGTGGGACATTCATGTCCTATAGACATATTTCTAGTTTTTCAAATCATGACCTCAAAGGCTAGGTAAGGCCACAATTAGGGATAAAAGTTTTATTTAGGAACAAAAGGAAACAATTCCTCAAAATTCTCCTTTTCAAGAACAACAAGAGCATGATTAATATGAAAAGATTCTCAAGGTGTAGATTCTAGTTTGTACAAATCATGACCCCCTGGGTTAGGCAGGGGCCATTTTTCCCGCCCCTTTCTGCCATCCACATGAAAATGCAAATTTTGAAACCAGTTTACACATATACATACGCAAAACAAACCAATCATTTTCCAAATGATCATGGTTTAAAGCTAATACATAAAATATTAGGGAAGTTCTAGAGTGTAGGGCGATTAAAAATATCAAATATTACAAAAAAAAAATCTACCCCCATTTGACCCCCCGGGCAAAATGAAAATTCCGAAACCTTACTGCACATCTATATGACAGCACCAACCATCTCTTAAAAGATGATTAGGCTACTGAGTCAAATGTAAAAGGAGTTCAGGGAAAACGGGGCTTCTTGCATAAAAAACGTCATTTTTCGACTCTCATTTGACCCCCTGGGGCAAAATCAACATTCCAAAACCTTACTGCACATGTACATGACACCACCAACCATCTCCCCAAAGATTATTAGGCCACTGTGTAAAATGTAAGAGGAGTTCAGGGAAGATGGGACTTTTTGCATAAAAAAAACGTCATATTTTTCGACCCCCATTAGACCCCCTGGGGCAAAATCAAAATTCCGAAACCTTACTGCACATCTACATGACACCACC